GAAACGAATAGTCGAGGGTGAAGGTGCACTTTAATCTTATATTTTTTAACATACTATTTTATAAAAAGTACTTTATAATATTAAATGAAGAGAATATATCAATAGTTCATAGTTAATTTATCGGGGTCATTTACCCTAGCTTTGCCGTTATAAAATAATTTAATTAAATGGTAAGAAAAAGGTGGGTGCTTGTTTGTCTCTTTACCTAAAAGTTTGCTCCCCACTTTTATATTTGGTTAGTCCGCCCCATAACCACCCCCGTTTAATTAGAGTTTGGTGAAATGATGAGGAGCTAGGAACCATCATACGCCTAGATCAGCTGGTTAGGGGCTTGATTTATAATTTAACTAGTGGTGTCAAGTTCTAAGTTTTGAGCGAGTATGTAGTAGTGATTAACTTTTTTGTGGGAGGTATGCCCCTTGAGGTGCCTACTGACTATATTAGTCTTGGTTAAAGACTTGAAACACCGGAACGAAAGGAAGAAGTGATTAGAAGGGGGAAAAATGATAAGTGTCAAGTTTGCTTGAGGTTGTGGCTGACTGGCTACATTAATAGGGCTTAGTGGGATTGTTCCAGGCAAAATAACTTGAATGGGTCCATGCAAAGCACAAATTATAGTATTATTAGCACTAAACTATATATATATATATATATATATAGAGTTGATGGGACTAGTACAACGTACACCGCCCACAAAATCATAGCCTCACCTTCATGGGATTTAATTATTGAGTTGTCTAGGTTCAAAGGGATATTCTTTTTCTGCTTTTCATAATTTCTTGTTCTTTTTATAATTTTAAACCTAGTGATTGTACTTGCACATAATCATCGGTCCATTTAAAATATTAAAAATTTAAAATTTCAAAAGCCATAAATTCATAAGTTAGCATAACTCGTATTAGGCTCTGCTCTTTTTTTTTGGGGTAAACTAGGCTCTGTGCTTTTAATACAAGGTTGCAATTGAATTCACAATCAATCAGTCCACAAAGTACGATGTGTATATGTGTGTGTATTTTTTCATCAAAGGCAAGCAATAAGGGTTGATAATAAAAGAAATAAATTTCAATGCGATAAAACTCGTTTGAACTATGGATATAGATACAATTATTGACGAGTAGCTAGGTTTACAAAGGGAGGAAGTTACACCAAAGGTGGTGTGTCGTTTTGGAAAAATTTCAACCTGATTGATTGAATAGAATATAATGATTGATATTGATTAGGTTAAAGTTAATGAATCAGTCGTACATGCAATGCAAATAGACATTGCTTGTTGTAGTTAATTTGACGTGAAGTGGTAATTATGCAAAGTGACTAGCTAGAGAGACAAACGGTCAAAATGGGAAGAGGGTAAAAGATTGGGAAAATAATTGAATGAGAATAACAAAGTAACAAACAGTTGAAGATTGGAAAAAGTAAAAACTGAATTTCCCACAAGTGACACCCACCTTTGATGTGCCATTTTGTCAAAGATTCGAGAGCAACGCAAGGAATGGGAATAGCATCAACAATGGCACACCAACCACCTGTGTGGGCTTCAGCTTTACTTTCACCCACAGTTGTTTGTTTTTTATCATGAAATTCACAGTACATCACAGGTCTTTAACTGTTCATTCTGGACACATTCACACTATTTGTTTTCTCAACATGAAAAGTGTGCGCTGTGTTTCTCTCTCTCTCTCTCTCTCTATATATATATATATTAAAAGAAAACAAAGCAGTGACATACTTATGAGCATAACAAAAGGTAATAGAGAATTCTCATGCTCGATCTGTTCTTGCATAAAAATCTTCAAAAATTCACTCTAAAGTTTCCTAAATTTGAGAATATTTTCAGATGTTAAATACATCAAGTGATGAATGATCTGTTTGATTTTGATTCATTGGTAACAATAAGAAGCTCGTAGGGCAATATAAATGCATAATCTATGCACAGATGGAGGGAAAAATTAGAAGCATTTGGTGCCAAATATTACAGGATTTTAATCCCTTTTTTGGCCAAAAACAAAACTTATGCATAGCTGACCTATTTCAGATATATATATATATATATATATATATTTGATTTTTTTTTTTTTGGGTTTGTTTCTTAGCAGTCGAATCCTTGATCACCTTATTTTTCAAGCTCCTGGTTATTGATTATATTCAATGAAAAAAAAAAAACCGAACCAATGAAATAGATATTATAGTAATTTTTGGCAGCCACTTTGAAGGAAACAAAATAAAGGAAGGTAAACTTGAGAGTCTAAGTATGAGTGAATATAAACTGATGTGAGAAGTCATATATTAGATAAAATTAAGCTTACTATATAACTAATATAAAATAAAAAGAAATGACTTAATTAATATCGAAATTTTAAATTAAGATGTTGTATTTTTTTATTACTCTTTCACGTTTATCTCCTTTCCTTATTTTCAGGACAGCCGCTCTCCATTCTCTCCATTCATAACAGAAAGACAATAACTAGCTGTTTGTATAAAAATATATTTAAAATAGACTTATTTCACTTTTATGTGTACTCTAAATAGGCCAAGACCATTTTAGAGAGTAAGGAATATCTAAATTCCAAAGAGAAAGTAACTATACACAAGGCTGGCTGGCTTGCAGCCTACTAGCTCTTTTTTATGAATATATGATTTCTATCATAATTTACACATACTTCCTCACTTATCATTAATTTTCCTTTTGAATATTTGAAATTGAATTTGCTGATGTGAGGATAGGTTTTGCTTTTGCCAATGGGTGGATTGGTGAAACACAATGTACCCACATAAGTCAAAAATAGTGATGATTAGCAAAGCGTTGTGAAGACTTGGAGCTCTTGTTCTGACCATTCTTTAATTCATTGATGATGTCTATTGTATATGATAACTTTACAAAAAGTAGACAGATGAGAATGATCTGCACAAAAGCAATCTCGTCCACAGTTCTCAATGTGTCTTGATGAGCCCAATAACCTTGACGAGGATTTACATCGGCATATCTATCTATTCGTGCGTTTGTTCAAATCTTGCTTTTTTAACCCCTTGTCCTCTCCTTTTGTTTTGTTTTATAATCATTTCAAGTAATCATTACATTCTTTAATTCCGCCATCCAATCTCATCTGCAAGTGTCACTCAATCTCATCAACAACGTTTAATCAAAATCATTCTTAGAGAATCATTCTCTACCCACTTAGGTCACGTTTGCCAGAATACAAAGGCTTTGTGAGAGAATGAAAATTGGAACGAGGAGTCAAGGAACCTTCCAAAAATAACTTATTTACATATACGCGGTAAAGAAAAAAAGAGAAAAGTATTTAAACCTTAAAAATTTGAACCAAAAAAAGTAAATGACACAAGTATAGTTCATAAAAAAACAAGAGATAATGAGTCTTACATTATAAAGAGTAGGATTATTTTCGTCCTTGACATTATGATTTTCACTGGAAGTGGCATTTCCTTAATTATATACTGTGAAAGGATTCATAAGGCTTATCAAACATGACGATTTTCTCTCTCATTTTGAGTTCGTTTCTTCAAGCTGCTTTCCATCCCACCAAACGCGGTCCTTTTTCAATCTTATCTCTTCACTTTTTCCCACTCTTCTTGTCCCCTATTAATGACATATTTTAGACAAATATATCAAGGGCATTTGCATCATTAACACATCCAAAATTCATTTGACTAGATATTATTTCCAGGCATTGTATGGAAAAGATAAATGATTCATACTATTTATAATCTATGAATAGTGTAACATACTATTGAGTTTTAGGTATTTATCATATTGAATTGAACAAGTACATCTGCAAACAGCAAAGTGGTCCAACTTGCAAACAAAAGGAAAATGAAGGAAAAATTTTCCTTTATTTTTTTCATTTTTTATATATTTTTTAATCTGATCCCATTATTTAGAAGATGGACTTGAGGCTGAAATCCCACAATGGGTAGCAATTAAGTGAGCAGGCACTGGACCACATTGTGGACAGGTACCTGGATTGATTGCTGCAGATGTAATACAATGCCACCCTGAAGCAAGCACTATGTACTACTTTGACATTTCCTGAATAACAATTCTCATTATTCAAATTATTGTCTCACACAGTCCAGCTAACCATGCTCAAAAATTGCTGTCAAGTACTCAGCATGCTTAAACTCATCGCCTTGCTTCATGGATTCTGATGTCTCCCAGAAAAACAAAGACAGCCCGATAGCATAGCAACTTTTACAGATAGAGTATAGTGTGCCTCATGAAGAAGAAAAAGAGACAAGAAGCAAACTTGGAGCATTTGGGCACCATGTGGTGACAGCAGAGAGTGTGCTTAGTGACCTGTAAAGTGGTTAACAACATATAGGGAGCCACATTGGCATTATATCAAACAGATGGTGTGCGTGTGTGTGGACAAGAATAATGAGGAGAAGCGAATTGGAAGTAATAGGCAATAACCACATGCATGCTCAAAACATGAATGGCTTTCTCATTCACAGTGCCCACAAACACAAGAGTATCACAACATGTGAAGGTTGTCTCTTAGCATTGTCAATGTAATTTTTAGCTTTTGCAATTCTGCGTTGCAAACCAAAGAGCCAGTTGGTAAGCAGGCAGGCAATGAAAAAACACCCTACAAGAGATTTGGATTGCACACGTGCATTGCCTGTTCATCAATCGTGGTCACGTAACAACCATTTGTCCTGGCCTTGAACAGTCTTTGGTTCAATTATATATTATTATTGGCAAGAAAACTTATCAGTGGTTTTGTGTTAATGAAGTGATGAACTCATCACTGGATAAGATTGATTTGTTATACGGTGACAAATAATAAGACAGGATCACCGAATTCAATTGAGAAAACAGAAACTAGTTCCAGACTCCAATTTTCCAGACCATATCAATGTTTTCTCCTCCGATTCTATAATTGGGCTTGAATCATTTGCTTCTTTTATGGGCCGTTTTATATTTTTGGGCTCGAGACAAGAGTCCCTAGATCTCAAGCCTATCATTATCATGACTTTGAAGTATGTATAAAAAGTAAAACTTCTTTGGACTTTTTAAGTACATGACATATATTGTTCCTTCTATGACAATCCAAAACAATAAGATGCCCATTACTGACTACTGAGCCCAAAGAAAATTTGGTTCAACTGAGCTGTGTTTTTCATGCATGGGTCTAAATTGTACTTGACCCACCTAAAGAAAAAAGCTCCCAAAAAAAAAAAATTCTTGTTTGACGATGGTGGAGGAAAAAGCTCTTCTTCTCACGAACGTTTCTCAGATCTGATCTTCCAAATCCTTGACGTGCCAGCTCGCTTTCTCAGCCTGCGATTGTTAACCCAACAAAGTGGAATTAACACACATACACAAGGCTTGCGTTATCAATGACACTATCTATAAAACAAAAGCAAGTGAAAATCTGATTGGACCTTGGAATGAATGATACAGAATAACAACTGCGTATTTACCTCTCTGTCCCAATTGCAGCGACTGGTGATGAGTGCCAATATTAAGGTTTGAGTTGCAGTCCCACCAAAAATCATCCCTGCCCAGATACCCTGACATAAAATATTGTTCATTTTCATGCAAACCAGATCAATTCAGCAAAATAGTAAAGCAGTTTTAGAACAGAGACACTGGAAAGATGGTACCTACCATGACCCCTAGATGGAAGACCCAGCCCATCAAAATTCCAAGAGGCAAACCAATGATATAGTAGCAACCCAAGTTTATGTATGCCACGTAGGACTGCCACCCTGACCCCACAGCCACTCCTATTCATGATAATTGAGTTTTATAAAAACCATGTCAGATCCACGTACGTATTGGAAGTGACAATGGCAATAAAAAGTGAAATATGCAAGAAGGTAGTGCCTGAGAGAACTGGTTGAACACTGTTGAGAAGTATGGTGAAAACTAAGAGAAGAGAGAGCTTGTTAACTTGATCAAGCACGGGTTTGCTTGGAGAGAATATATCACCGATTTGGTTGTGAAAGATCATAATGAAGACACATATCACCACGCCTATTATGGTTGACGTCACCACTGACACCGTTGTTGCAAACTTGGCTGCCTTTCCGTTCCCAGCACCCAGCTCATTTGCCACCCTGACTCTGCAAGTTCCACGAGCGAAACGAACAAAAACAAATATTCAAAAGCACACCAGAATTTGAACTTTGCACTACTCTCTTTCAATGCTATCAGTAAAGAGACAAGCGGACAAATAACACAAGCTTAATTTCCTGTGCCTACAGAGTCTTGCCAATAACAAGAAATAGCATCAATTTCAGTGAGTAAAAATTAAAGTCAATTTGCAGTGAGTTTGAACTTTGAAGCCAACACACTCATGTGCTCCTTACATTGCTAATTTTGCTCACAACAGTATTAACTTAAGAGTTAGAGGCTATGACTCTTGAGGATCCTCCTTAAGATTGTTGTAATTTACTTTATTTGGATCTGGTTGGTCCTCCTGAGAGCTTTCCTTTCCCTTGTTTCCAAAAATAATTTTTTGAAGCCATCCCATATGATGATTTAAGCAGAGGAATAATTCAAATTCAAGTGTAAGACTTGGACGATCAAATTAAATCTTGCTAGGACGAAACGGTCACAATCCCGACGCAGTCTGAGGCGACCGTCTCAATTATTAAGGAGTGCCGAAGAGATTTGGAGCCATAGAAAAAGGAAGAAAAATAAAAAAGGGATTAAGGACGACATAGAAATTTTGTTTGGTAGTATAATCATTGAGCACGCTCGACCAATCTAGAGCATTGCAATACTGTTAGATAACCATTGACATCATGGGACTGTGACAGCAAAAGTCACAGAATGTGCCCATCTACGGCTGCACTAGTTGCACTTACCTGGTTACCTTCGCTGATAAGATTTCGAGCCGTGATAATGACATGTCATGATTGTCATCTTAGATCGGTCAAAACAAAATCGATATTGATGATATAGGAATATATATATATATATATATATATATTTTAACTGAATACAGATCCGTGAACTTTAATTTATTTACTATGATTCATTTATAGTTCCTGCCGCCGCCTATTTTTGGACATGAGACCTCAAATTTTCAGTTTCTAGCCAGTTTTTCCTTTTAACGTGATGTTGTGTGCTTTGAATCATGGTATGAAAAGAGATTCTTAAAAAAAAAAAGTGCATATCTGAAAATATATTTATCAAATCAAAATCATAATTTTAACAGCGCTAAATTAAAAGTATCTTTTACTGAAACATAATTGTGGCTTTGACAAGTGTGAATTCCAGGTTAATTTACTACTTGATGGATTTATGTGTAATCCTTCAATTTTAATTATTTAAAAATAACTTCTCGTACGTTTTACCAAATTAAAAAACTTTAAAAATCATTACTTTTATTTAAACATTTTAATTTTGTCCCCATGTATATATTTTAATAAACCCTTCGTCCAAGAAAAAATAACAACCCATTAATTTTACCTAAAAGTTTTATAACTTTCTAACATTTTAACATAAATTTTTAAAAATATTAGTATTAAATTTATAATAAAAATTTAATCACATGACATATGAATAATTAAAATAAAAAATATTTTTTTCTCTTTATTAGTGATTGTGACAGCCTATCAGCTTCGAATAATTAATAGCAGTAACGCTGGGTATTTTATTTTGTACTGTGGCAGAAGTTTATTTATTTGTTTAATTTTTTTTTTTAAGCGACAAGGAAGGGCCATGAATTACTTACCCAGTTGCAGCAAAGAATGAAAGAGGAATCATCATTTCCCATCCATTTATGGCCATGCTGCGAAATTTAAGAGGAAAAAAAAATATAATAATAACATGAACCAAAGAACGATATGCTATAAACCAAGTGGTAAATTTAATAATAAAACGTAAACCTTTAAAAAAAAAAAATTGGTAAACGAAACGCATAATCTCTTCTTGTGCTTACCATATAGACAACGCATCGACGGCAATCTCTGGATTTTCCAGATGCCCAGTCATCAATATCAGTATTCTGTAGTACCAGTTCTCCAAGCTGTAATTGAAATTATTGAAGGAGTAACGTATGAAAATAATACCAAACAATACAGAACAATACATAAATGTCTAGTAGAACTTAATTAAACGAGGGAGAAAAATTACCAGAGCATGACACCAGAAGCAGCAGATAGTTTCAGGAATTCCCATATACCAGAAAAAGCTTCCATGGAAAAACCAGACCACGTGAGAGGACAACCTCCACAAACACAGTAAAACATGAGACCTAGATCCAAAACCCACCAAGAGATATTCATCGTGGCGGCTGTGCCAATCACTCCGGCTTGAAACTTGTACACAAACAGCCAGCTCACAACTACGTGCGCTACAACTGCGATTAGAGACACCCAAGCAATCACTCCAGGCTTGAGCTGGCACTGCAAGAACCTCCAAAGAGGAAATTGAAATGCGAAGCTGAAGTGAAGCGGTATCATCCACAAAGCAACAGCCCCTGATAGCTCTGCTAAATCCTCAGGCTCACCAAGAAGTTTCAAGATTGGTGACGCAAACAGAAGCAAAGGCAAGAGCAGAACACAGCACATGGAAAGAACGATCCATGAACGTTGAAGGTAAATCCCCATCATGTAGTACTTCTTGGCCCCAAAAGCTTGCCCGCACAGTGTTTCTAAGGCACTAGCCATACCCAACTGATCAAACACATACCATATATCACACAGTGATTAAAGATTTGAACTTTGAAGTGAAAAAGGAATAGTATACATATACATACCATGAGGCCGATGTCGAATCCCAGAATGACATTGTTGACGATGGAGATGGCAGCAAGTTCAAGGTCACCGAGATGGCCGGCGAAGGCTTGGGTGATGACTAATATGGAATAGGAAGCTACACGGCTGAAGATTGCAGGGCCTACGATGTGCCAGAGCTTCTTTGATTCAACCCAAACCCTTCGTGCAAGGTCCAAATCATCATCTTGTCTATCTTCAAGCAATGGAACTTTTGCTTCGTTCCTCGCCATTTCTGCAAGTCGGTCTATGGGAGAGAATGGATCAGAACGTGGCAGGTATTGTATTGTTTGTTTAATGAGGTGTGACAATCCTTGAAGATCTGAGTTTATCAATTTATTGTGTTTGGGGTCATTCTTTTGAGCTGAATTTCTGATGCTGATTCAGTACCCAGGACCCAAGGCCTCGAATGAGGTGTGACAGACATGAAGAGACAGGATACAACAATAAATTTAGCACATGCAATTGTCTGTATCTGTCGTCGAATGACGTTAGTAACGATAGTCAACACTGAAAATAAAATTTTCTTAGCTCTTTTTACATATTATAAATGATTAACATCCTATTCATTTATTTAAAAATATAAAATATTTTTAATTAAATTTTATCTTTTGATAAAATAATTATTTATTTTTAAATTAATTTTATTTTTTATATTTATTTTTATTAAACACTCTATAATAAGTATAAATTTATTATGAGAAACTTTTAAAAAAGATAATAATTATATCTTAAAAAATTAAAAATGTCTCACATTTTTAAACATTTAACTCCTCAAAAAATATCTTACATTTTTAAATGGAGGAAGTATAATTTTTTTTATTTGCATTTTAATTGTTGATGGCGAATTTCATTTTTATGAAATTTAATACTATTTTTTCCAGCGATATTAGTTCTAATCGGGTTATTTTTTTAGTTGATTGGATTTGTTGGGGGGTTTTTTTTGTACATCATTATGTCTATTTTTATCAAATTATCAAAACAGATTGATTATACCTTATACTCCGTTAAAAAGTACAAGATATTTTTTGAGAGATTGTATGTCAAAAATGTAACTCATTTTTAATATTTTAAAGTATAATTATTGTATTTTTTTAAAAGTATTCTAATGAATAAATCACTTTATATTTATTTTACAGTGAAACACCATATTAAATATTGATAAATATGAAAAAATGATTTTAGTTTAAAGAAAAGTATCTATTTTATTGGGATTAAATTTGATTAAAAATATCTTATTTTTTTTAGTGGAGGGAGAACTAAATTTCATTTATATGTGATGGTAGGTTTTTAATTTTCTATGCATGATATATATAATATCACTATTTATAAACCTTAAATAACATAAAATTTGAGTTGATTCGTGTTCAATCTGTGAGTAAAAATTGGATGCAGTCAATTCTAAAATGATGTAATTAAATCATTTTTAATTCTTTTTATGGATTATAATTCTTTTTATGGATTATTAAAATTTTTGTTGGACGAAAATTGAGAAGGATATCTTTAATTTGCATTCACTTGAATTTGGATCATGTAAGTGGCTTAAATCTACTTACTTAACGAGTCTCTCACATAACACATTTAATTAACAATCATTTAATTTAATTAAATAGTTGTCAAATATTTTGTAATATAATATAAAAAAATATCAAATATCAAATTTTAAAAGGGACAGAGCGTGTGAAGAGTGTTTTTATTGTAAAAATTGTTTGGAACTTTTGAAGAGAAATACATTTTAATAATTTTTAAGTATTGATAAAATATTTTAATAACTATATTTGAGACATTTATTAAATGAATAGACTTAGAGAAGTTATGAAATCCACATGAGAAGATTTTTTATTGGTGTTTTAATTGTTGTTAGGCGTTCATTTTTATGAAATTTAGTATTTTATTTTAGCAATCTCAATCGTAATCCGATTGTTTTTTAAATTGATTGGATTCTTGGGTCTTGTGTATCATCCTTATTCCTTATAACTATTTTTGTTGCCAAGAGCTCAATTGGTATGATTTATACCTTTTCATGCAACGGGTCCTTCGATCAAATCCCCAAGTGATTTGAAAAAAAAAATTAAAATGTGTGGCGTATTACGTGTATGTGGATCTCCTTCCAGTCCTTTGAACTAAAACAAATTATCATGTCCGCTCTGCACTAAAATAATGTTTGGTTTTCGAAGAAAAAAAAACAAGAAGAAGAAGAAGGATAATGTTTGGTTTGTATTTCAAATATATTTTTTTAAAAGTTTTAATTCAAAGCGTCTCACAAAACTAGTATGAAAATTTCGTCAAACATAAACTCGAAATTCAAAAGTTAAAAACAAACCGGCACTAATTTTCGTCTGTATCTGACAGGTACATTCCTATGCATGATATATACTCCCTTGGCTAAAAATGTAAGAGATTTTTTAAGAAATTAAATATTAAAAAATATAATATATTTTTAATCTTTTAAGATGTAACTATTACTTTTTTTTTATAAAAGTATCTCTATTGATAATGACTTTATATTTATTGTAAGGTGTTTAATAGAGGTTAATATGAAAACATAGGATCAATTTGAAAGTAGATACCTACTTAATTAAGAGGTAAGATTCGATTAAAAATGCCTTAAAATTTTGAATGGAAGGAGTAATATAATTATTTATAAACCTTAAATAACATATGAGTTGATTCATATTGGGTTGTAAAAAAAGAGTTAATTTGAATATTTTAAAAGTTGGATCAGACATTGAACCATAAAAGTCAACAATAATCAATTGTTATGGTCTAATTAACCAATTAGACTGATAATGTAATAATTAAATAAAAATAATATTAAATATATATATATAATAAATATAAAAAAATCTATAGTATGTTAACATGAAATAACATGATCGTAAATTAATAATATTATAAATATAAATTATAATTTTATAACTTATTAAATATGGGTAGATTTTGCATTAAATTAGACATGAGTGGAGTCAAAAGTATGTATATTTACACCTATAATGTGAATTGCCCAAAAATAAAGTTAGCTTTTAGTAGGATCTAATTTTTAAATTTTTCTAATTTTTTAATTTTTAAGATTTTCTAATATTATGTTTAAAACCATCCGGTCTTTTGAAAATCATTTTGGTTCTCAAATCAACTTTGATTTCTGATTTAATAATGGCTCAACTCCTATTCAATTCAACTCAATCATGAAAATAATTTTTTAATCTAAACCGAGCTGTTAAAGACTTTAGTCGATGATCTAACTAGTTCGGTCCGATTTTTAAATCGTTAGTTAATTCATATTCACTTCATTTTTCTATCTTGTATACTACTTTTATGCAATGATGAAGCATATTTGTTCAATAATCATCAATCAACTTGTATAATAAAGTAAAAAAAAATAAAGAACTTATACAATAAAGTTTGTCTACTCATCACTCAACAATTACAGTGGTTTGCTAAGTAAATTGTTATAGTTCCATAATGGTCTAAATATTTTAAAAAAACTTTGAAATTTTATTTTAAAAAAATTGAAATTGTCTTCAGAGCATTTAAAAAGTTTGTTAACCTATTGTTTGCATCGAAATTATAAATTTGGAGGACCAAGCTCAATTCAATTTAAGTGACTTTAAAATAATTAAAAGAAAATATTTATGAAGCCTTAGCTATTAAGTGAAGACAATCTATACTTCACCCATGATGAGTGACCAATATAGAGGAAGCACTTTGTAAATTCAAGAAAACTGGTGATCATAAGGCTTGAGCACTAAGCCAGGATCATCTATAAATAGAGAAACCTTCTTTCAACAAGGAGGATCAACAAACTACTAGTCTCAAACTCTGCGTCTGCTATTTTATTTTATTTTTTTATCATGTAGTTTTAATCTTTATTTTTCTGTTGTATGGCCGGCATAGCCCGTTACCTCTTTTTTTAATTAATGTATCTATATTTCCTTACATCTGTATTAATTTTCTTCACTTCACAATTTCATATCCGGGTGAACTGTGGTAAGCGAGCTTGAGTTCCCTGTGTACGATTAGAAGTTAGGTTCTTCTATCCTTTTGAGAACTCGCACTCTGACACCCCTCACGATACCCCCCTTTTATTTTTGCCGAATGATTTTTGACACGCCTGGTGGGACACATGTGAACGAAATGCCTAGGACACATAAGGTTCAATATGTTGTTAAAAGGAATAGACATGAGTCTTACAGCTCAAAGAACACGGTTGCACGCGCAGAACGTGAAGTACGAGCTAACGAGAGGCAAAGAGCTATGTTGCAAACTTTGAAAGATGGGCTAAGGAACATCTCTGCTATGCTATCTAGACCATTGCAACAGTAAACTTTAATTGGCTTACACTTTTAGAGAATAGATGGACTCGGGGGACAATCTCTCAATATGCCCTTCAACTAAAAGATCAACAACAAGGACTGCTATAACATCTCTGAAAGGATAAATGGTAGATCTAATTCAATAGTGAGCCTGCTTAGCCATAAGGTTTGGAGCCACTAGGGCTAGCACTAGAGTAACTAGAGCTAATAGGGCTAATGCCAGAAGGGCTATAGCTATTAGGGCCAAGGGCCGGAGCCAAAAGGGCTAGCGAAGTTATAAGGGCCAGAGATATAGGGGCCAACACTAGAGGGGCCTGAGCCATAAGGGCTAGTACCAGAGGCTGAAAGGCCAATGGAATCACTGGAGCTAGCATCAGAGGAGCCAATACCATAAAGGCCAGAGCTACTAGGGTCGGAATCACAGGGGCCAACACTAGAAGGGCTAGTAGAGCTACTGGAATCAAAACCATAGGGGCTAGCACTAAAGGGGTTGAAGCCACAAGGGTCAAACCCATAAGGGCTAGCGGGACCATTGAGGTCGGAACCACAAGGGCCAGTACCAAAGGAGCCGAGGTCACAAGGGCCAAAGCCACAAGGCCAATAAAGCCACTGAAGTCGAAACCATATGAGCCAACACCAGAGGAGCTGAAACCATAGGGGCCAAAGCCACAAGAGCCAGTGAAGCCACTAGAGCCAGAACCATAAGGCTAGCATCAGAGGGGTCGAAGTCATAAGCACCGCAACTATAAGGGCCAGTGCCATAGAGGCAGAAGCCATAAAAGCCAGCAAAGTCATTAGAGCTAGCACCATAGAGGTCAGAGGTACTAGGGCTAAAGCCACAAAGGACAGTAAAGCCATTAGAGCCAGTATCATAGTAGCTAATACTAAAGGGGTTAGAGTCATAAGGGCTAACATCATAAGGGCCAATGCCACAGGGGCCGCAGCCATAAGGGCCGGTGCCGCAGGGGCCAAACTCAAAAAGGCAAGCTTTACAAGGGCCCTTTTCACAAGAGTTCTCTCCTAAAGGGCTCTCTCTATAGGGGCCTCGTAGCAGCTAGATTTTATAGAACCAGTCCTTAAAGTCCAGAAACTTGAAAGGCCAATTTCAAAACCAACTCTTGAGGTCCCAAACCTTGAGAACTTGATCTTAAGTTAGACCACATGGTCCCTAATCCTTAACCACATGAATTTCCTTCAAGTAAAGTACCAAATCAACTATTAATTAGAATGGGAACGAGCCGATCCTCCAAGACATACTACTCATGCAACGCTTAGAAGTGGGATCAATGAAAATATCTATACAAAATTGGCCTACAAAGGCTCCAGCCAATTTGTATGCAGGAGGTATTGTTTGCACCTAAATTGTAAATTTGGAAGCCCAGAATTAACTCAATTTAATTGACTTTAAAATAATTAAAAAAAATATTTATGAAACCTTAACCATTAAGTCAATGACATCCACACTCTACTCATGATGAGTGACCAAGATAGAGGAAATGCTTCCTAAATTCAAGGAAACCGTAGATCATGGGGCTTGGGCACCAAGTCAGGATCATTTATAAATAAAGAAGCCTCCTCTTAATAATGAGGATCATCAGCATCAACAAACTACTAGTCTTAGACTCCGCGTCTGATACTTTATTTTATTTTTTCCTTTATCATGTAGTTTTAATCTTTATTTTTTTGTTGTACGCTTGGCATAGCCCGCCATCTCTTTCTTTAATTAATGTATCTATATTTCCTTATATCTACATTAATTTTTTTTACTTCACATTTTTACATTCGGATGAACTATGATAAAGAAGCTTGAGTTCTTGTGTTTTATTAGAAATCATGTTCTTTCATCCTTTTGAGACCCTACATCTCTGGCACGTCTCACAACACACCTTTTTATTTTTGCCAAACACTTGTCATTATAGAATTATAGCAATTTGCTAATTAGATTATGGGCTAAAGTATAAATATATCCCAGACGTTTTTCAAGAGGCGCAATTGATATCTTGAAGCATTTAAAAGCGTAATGTTGACCCAACATTTTTTGAAACGAAACAATTTTGCCCTACCGTTACATAAAGCTTATGTTGACTGTTAAGTTGTATTGTTTGACCATTATACTGAAATTTGGCATGCCACATCATTTAACACATCATATGCAAGTACTTAAAAAAATAATAAAAAATTAAAAGAGGAAAAATCAAATCACCTGCGTTCATTCCAATTACCAGAACTCAAACTCAATCTTTATTTTCCACCTTCATCAACCATCATCAAAACAAATCACCCAGAATAGGAAGATCAAAACAAATTTCCAAAATGAACAGACCACGCTATTTGCTAGAAGCAGCCAACAAAACAAAATAAAATAAACAAGATCTAATTAATCAATAACTACAACAAATCATGCTATGAATTTCGAAAATCATCAAACAACTAATTGCTAGAAAGAAGCATCAAGGTCCAGGCCTAGAATCTTGAAATCAAAGGCACACAGATGCAAGGGATGGATCTGGGGTTTTACTTCGCATGCAGGGGATGTCTTTTTCAAAGCAATTCAGAGGTTTACTTCACACGCACCTAGTTCGTCGAATTCCAATATTACGGTGACTTGGGCGCGAACCCTTTTAAGCCCTGGCACATTGGAGATAGCGAGTAGAATCTGTTTTGTTCAACAACTATCTTGTTAATATAAAACCATTTCAAAGGTTGAATAGGGTAGTAGTGCTTGTCCTCATCATCTGGTTTACTCGCGTCCACCTACTAAATCTCCTGAGCTTGCCATCACCGTCGCCCTTGCTTGCCGTCACCGTCGCCATCGATCACATTCTTCTTCAGAGAACCTACTGTCTCAGAGTCAGTAAGACTGTAAGAGAAAGAAGAAGAGAGAAGATGAGGAGGCCAGGCTGGGTGATTCAGATCTGTGGGAAAACATGAAGCTATGGGTGGGAAGAGGAAGATCAGGCAAATGGGAAGATGGGAAGCGGAAGAGGAAGCGATCGAAGATGGGAAGAGGAAGCACATGACTGAAGAGCCAAAAGCCACGTGTTATTTTCTTTATTTTTTAAAATTCTATAATAAATGCTATGTGGCAGATGACAGTCAACTTAACAGTCAAAATTTAATTCTGTTAGTCTGGGGTGGAATTGTTCGATTTTAAAAAACCTTGGGTTGATATTACGCCTTTAAATATTTTAGAATATCAGTTGCGTCTCTTCAAAAACGTTTGGGGTAAATTTATATTTTACCTCTTAAATTATTGTACTCCTACAATGATCCAATTATTTTGAAAAACTTTTTAAATTTTATGTTAAAATATTAAAGTTATCTACAGCATTTAATGTTGGAGGCAATTTCAGTTGGTTGATCGAAGACCGGCAATCACTAACTAGTCGAAAATAATATGCATAATTAAAACGTTTCCGCAGACCAAAAAGAAATGTTTTTATATTTTTTTTTGTTATACTGATTTGTTTATTATTGTATTATTACTTAATAAAATATGTACTCTATCCGTTTAAAAATATAAAATATTTTTAATTAAATTTTATCTCTCAATAAAGTAGTTATCTACTTTCAAATTAACACTATCTTTTTATACTTATTTTTATTAAACATTTTATAATAAATACAAAGTCACTATCAATATAAATATTTTTGAAAAAAGATAATGATTATATTTTAAAAAATTAAAAATATTTTACATTTTTAACATTCAATTCTTTAAAAAAATTATATTTTTAAATGTAGGGAGTTTTTTTTTTTGTTGAGCTAAAATATAAATTTGCTCGGAATGTTTTTAAAACAAAACATAATCGATATCCTAATATCTCAATTAAAAAGTATAACATTGCTCCAACATTTTTAAAACCGGTAGATTGTCGCCCTAAGCTGACAACAGAGTCAAACGGGACCCCACACGTTAACGCCAAGTAAACGAGGAAATTTTCAAGCATTTGCCACGTGTGCATTCTTAATTCCTCAGTGCGAGCACTTCCTCTTCATTTTTCTGCCCAGACATTCATTTCCAAGCAAACTAGAGGCTATGGGTGTCTGAATCAAAGCAGAGATCGGTTACCGACTAAACGTGACCCCCTAAAATTTACTGATTTTTCTCCAACAAACGAATATTTAGTCAAAAAACTCAACTTATAAATACTGTCATAATAATAAAAAAATTCGATTTGCTTTTCAAAACTTTACCCTGTTAATTAAAGATTTATCATGATAAAAAGAATAAAAAATAGTATTTTAAAACTTTATCACAGTAGAAAAATGTTTATCATAATAATTAAGAATCAAAATAATTTTATGAAAGTTTATTATGATAGAAAAATATTTTCCTTACAACTAAAATATTTATCAAAATTGACTACTATAACATCTTAAATTTTAACTCCCTAATTAATCAAACTAATCTAGGGAGTAATTGGGTAAAATCTAAGTGAATTTAGCTTAGAGAATTGTTAGAGAGGGCTATTTGGTCTATTAGGCTTTGATTTTAACTTTTAGGATTGAGTCTAGAATAGAGTTAGGCATCTGGATAAAAAAAAAAAAGAAGAAGAAACTTAGGGAAGGAAAGAGGTGACTTTGTGCCTTGTGTCACAACATATGTAACATCCACCATGGCACAAGATGCTAAATGTGAGGGGAAGAACTTTCTGTGCCATATGCTACGACACGTGAAGTGTCCACTGTAGCACATGGATCAAATAGGTGTAAAGGGTGCTCTCTGTGCTATATGCTGAGGATGCATGCAGTGTCATTGCGACGCATGCATAGCCAATTTTCTGACTTAATTGAAACACTTAGACATTTGAAAAGCAAAAGAGAAAAAGAGGGTTGAGCGAGAGGAAGATGAAGAGGTTGCGAGCTTTGTTAAGACTTAAAGATTTGAAGCTTTCAGAACATTTTGAAGCTTCTAATCACTTGAAGTAAGTTTCCTTAACTCTAATCTCCCTTCCCCTCTTCCTCTTTTGACAATTTTAGGTTAGAATCCATTGATTTAAATGAAATTAAGAGAATTTTTTGAGTTATTTAAACTTAAGAGTTATGGTTGTACACACAATGGCAAAACAACGTTGTACATGAAGGGGGCCAAATTCCGCCACTTCATAACATAGAACACAGGGAATTGCAGCAAGGTGAATAGCTTGCAGGTCCCCTATCCACACATGCACATGCATAATATTATACAATTATAGAGACTTGCATGTAATTGTTGAGGTGGCATTGCAAGATAATAAGATATTGTTGAGGTGGCAGTGGCACTGTAAAGGTAATAAGGTACGCACTTAACTTTGGAATAAGGATTAAAAACAACAAATTTTTAATAAGAGTATTGCCTATCATATTTTTTTTTATGATTAATACACACACGCGCATTCCCTTCGGCCTTGGTTATGAGGTAAAAAGAGAAGAATTTTTTTAATTCATCTGGTGCTGTTTATATGTGGAGAGAGTGTTTATTCTGGTCATATACTTATTAGACACTTCAAAAATTATTATATCCATCTTTACTCTTTCATCCCAATTAAATGTTGGGAATATTATTAAATATTAAAGTATTTTATTTTTAAAATTATGTATATTTAATAGGGATAAAGTTGATAAATTTATTGACTTTTAGACATAGTTAATGAAGTTTAAGGTTTTATTTAGTTTTGATGAAAATATTGAAAGTAACTTATAAATAAAATGAAATAGAATATATTTATAAGTATGCCATTGGCTGTTTATCATAAGTTTATCCTTTTATCTCTATCAAATGTTGGTGAAAAAATTATGTTATTAAAACATGTATATTTAATGATGTTAAAATTAAAAACTTATTAAATTTTTATACAAGATTGATTAATTTAAAATTTTTATGGGTTTTAGTGAAACATGTTAAAAATAATTTATAAATGATTATATAATTTTACATTGCTAATTCTTAATTTTTTCATATATTATATCCTTATTTATTTTCTATTAAAACTTTTTAGCCCCCTTAACATTGACCCTAGATTTGCCCCCTATGTACACATTTTTGGTGTTAGAAGAGCATTTATGTCCGAAATTTGGCATTAAATATTAGAGTTGGTGGTTGTTAAGGGCCATTAACAGTGAACTAAGAGTTTAATGGAGTTAATATAAATTAAAAAAAGTTAATAAACTCAATAGGTAAGCAGGCTAGAGATAGAAGCATAAAGCGTTTTAAGTGTTATATTAGAAAGTTAAATTTTTTATTAATGGTTATGGACATGAATAATTGTAGACTAATCATTCCGTACACCAAATTGGACCCATAATGCCTTGGAAGTAATTGTGTTGAGGGATAAACCTTTGATCATTTAAATGTTTGGGGTTATCAACAAAAATCCATTTTGTGTAATTGTGTGTTAATTGATTTAAGTTTTCATAAATATATTTTTTAACGTGTATTGAATTTCACAATTTTTATTATGTTTCACATGTTTTGGAAAAGAGAAATGAGATAAATATGATAATGTATTTACTATGTTAATGTGAAGTCCTTAAATATAATGTGATGTTAGGGAAAATCTATGTGCATGCTTATATGCATATATGAGATGAATTTGATGAGTGAGATATGTGCAATTGAAAATAAGCATGATGTGATGATAGATGATTAGATATGATGGGTTGATGTTTGAGATGAATGAGATGATGCTAATATGATTTTAGCCTAGCATATACTAGTTATCAATTGAGCATCTTGATGTGCATTATAACGTGCTATATGTGTAAGTATGAGTTATTGTACGATCATATTAGCGAGAGCTTGCTTAAGGAGAAGAGTAGGTAAGTTTATATGGTATAGCCACTTTTCAGCAACTAAAAGCTAGCCTTTGTCCCATATTTTGGGTTGTGTGAATAGAACGATCACCATCATGAGTTCTCATCACTTTTAGAGTTGACACATAACTTGATCTCTTTTTTCTTATGTTTGATTTCATCTACCACCATGCTGGAAGTATTGGAATTTCATCTAATAAATGACACATCGTTGAAGTCTTAGCCTTTTAGACTGCTTGACTTATGTCGAAGCTCCTCCACCTCTCTCACTATCTCTTTGATTCTAATATAATTCATCTCCGAAATGACATCATCTTAAATTATGGGTTGATTCAAGGGTAATTTAATTCTAGCATAATCAACCACCTTGTGAAGTTCTTCGCGACTATAGGCTCCCCATAGGCCTGCTTTAAAAGGGCATGAAGGAATTTGACATTGACAAGGAAGGTCGCTCCTAGGTGCATCTGGAACAAGCTTGTATTGCCAAATTCGAGAGTGAAATGCATTTCAAGCAAAAATGTTTTAAGGACTTTGAGTCCAAGGTTTGATTAATCTGTTTCTTTCATTTTTCTTTAGTTATTGTTTGAGTTTTGATTGATTTGGTGTGCATGTTGATGTTGGGTTCTTTGGAGAAAAAAGTTTGAAACACAACTTGTTGTGAGTGGGCGAGTTAGGGGAGGAATGGTCATGGGACTTGGAGCAAGAAGAGTGAAATAGAATCCACTTATTTTTTTTATTAAAATATGTTAGGTGGGTATGACATATGGCAAAATAAGGTCAACTAATGGTCAAACCTTTGGTCCCGTTATTTCATTATAAAATTATATCTTTTTTTAAACATTGGGACGACATTGCATTTTTTAAAATGTTAAAATATCAATTGCATCTTTTTAAAAATGTTTGGGACATATTTGATGTTTAGCCTTTTTTTTTTTTTGCCTCCCAATCTCATAGTGCATCAATATTTGTATTTTGTACCTTTCACGTTTATTTTCCTGAGAGGATAAAAATCACACTA